GGTCAAGTCGCATTAAATCCGTCTTTTACGTCACTGACACAAGACAGACGCCAATTATCAGTGCCGGAGAAGACATCACGAACGCTTCCTGGCCATCCAGTGTAGATGTTAGTGAAACTGTTGGGAAGACAACGTTGGAGAAACGTGAACATTTTATTTGTACTGTATAATCTGCAGATTCTGACAGAAATCTGCAACTATCCTTTGAAGCACCGCTCCTCTAAAACAGCAATAAGGATCATTATTAGGTTATTTACATTATTATGTAAATAACAAAATAATATAAGAAAAAATTGGGAAACGTAAAGTCCGAAGTCTTTATATTAAGGGCCATCAGTCAAACAATACTGTTGGTCTGGGTCTAAACAGAGCTCGTTGTGTGTGACGTCTTCTTTTGCGCATGCGGGCCGCTTTGAGCGTTCACACTAGAGCACGTTTACTGTCGCATTTTATTTGTAGTGTGAACGAGCAGAGAAAAAAGATCGGATTTGATCAAAAAATCGAAATTGATCATTAAGACCTGCAGTGTGAACGTAGCCTTTGACAGTGTGTCAGTAAAGCTCATGGCTCAGCTCGCAGATCTTTGTATTTCACACTGCAATTGTACATGCAAAAATAAAATGTGAATTAAGCTCTGAATGCTTCTAAGTAAGACTGAATAGCAGCTCAGTACTGTACCTGAAGGCCTCCTGTATACCCACAGCTTTAACCAGAGCTCTGCACTGGTGTTATTTATATAACCACCATCAACAGCACCAACACAAAAGACAGAAAGAAGCATTGCTGTCTCTTTATCCCTTAAATCCCCGTGCGAAAAAGTGCTTGTGTTGTAAAGCAGACTTAGCGATAAAAAGCAACGCAGTGGATTAAAAAGAAGGATAGAGTGGGAGAAAAGGTATGAAAAATCAAAGAATGGAATATCTTTGAACAATTGATTTTTAGTAGCTAATTAATAACTAACTTTGCATTAAATGAGATAAATGCAAGACCACAATTATAAAAATCATTTATACAAAAGAGCTATCTCACAAACACAAGCATGACAACTAAACCAGCTGCAGTTGGTATCAGAAATAGAAAGCACTAAAGGTCAAGTCCTTGGCAACGGTGGGGAGGAAGAACTCCCTTTTTAACAGAAAGAGTCCACACAAGCAGGCTCAGGGAGGGGAAAAAGTCTCTAAAGAGAATGTGTAGAAATGAATGAATAAATAATAATGAAACTGATTTATTTTATTATACTTAACTCGTGTTTTGCCCTGCACAGCATGCTAGCAGCTTAGCAACTATGACTTCCTAAAGAAGAATCAGTAATGTGTGACTTTTCTGCCATATTTGGAGTAAAACTGGCTTTCCTGACTGTGTGTATAACCTTCCACTGTGTATGTGTGCACACTTGTGTTTTTCCAGAGGACAAGCTGGAGCAGCAGCACGCACTTTTTACTCAATACAAGGACCCATGTCGCCTGGGGCCAGGGGAGGACAAACCATGGGCTCTGGGTAACAACACACAACCCAACACATGCCCACGCACATCTTCCTCTAGGGTCGC